CAATCTCTACAGAAATTGGGGTGGTTGTGAGGGACCACACCTTGGATGTTCAAGGAGTGCTGACGGGGAACTTCTCCACGCAAATCTATAGTCGAGACTGCTCTATCGCCTATGTGCAGGGATCCCTGTAGCCGTTCAAGCTGGGTCAACATTCAAAGTTTGACCCGCAATGACATGACCCACCCTAAAATTGTAGTTGCGAGTCTATTAGGTAATAATTGAATAATTGATCAAGACATTTAACGGTCTACAGAAGCTCCCCTGAACATGTTCTAGGGGGGACACACAAACCTCATGCGCTCGTATTTAGTGTCTCAGTCAACCCTGTGCTGAGGATGGCAATTGGTCATAAACCTTAAACACTGTCAAAGCTCAGACTAGTAATACAAAAGACTCCTAGACGCCGCAGCACTAGAGGAAAATGTAGTCGAATGACTGTCTCCTCCACTGAGATATGTAAGAATCGAAAAGTTCAGACTCTGCCACTCACCGAACACTTGCCCATTTCCCCGCGACCTGGGGGATCAACCACCGAGTCCCTTCTTCCTGGTGGGCGCACTGCCAGAGAGTAGGGGCACTTGCCTCCTGGTTGCTTCAGGCCAGCGGGTGCTGACTCCGGCTGTTGTGTGTTCTCCACTTGGGGGTCTCATCTGCTTGCCCTTGGCCAAAACAGCATCCCGCTGCACATAGGTAGCCCCTGCCAAGCGAGCCAGATCACACTGCAGAATATCACACATATGCTATATCCCACTAACAAATGTGTCTACTGGTCTAGGAGGCTGGTGCGTTCTGCCTCTGAGACTTCAGATTCCTGGACGCCGCAGCACCAGAGGAAAAGTAGTTGAATGGGAGGACTTCACACCCATACTAACACTGCTCTCTGTCACGCCTGTAGGGACGTCCAAACTGATGGCGCGACTAGCACGACCTCTGGCAACATGATCAGTCTCTGCAACATAAACGTTGGCTTTGACACTATCCCAGGATTTCAGATCCCAATTAGAGCACACGCACTTGTGGCAATAAACCGACCCGCGAATGCATTCTAAACAAAGGTGACATTTGCTACTTGGCAATTCACGCAAGACAAGGCATGCACGAGTGGTCATGACTGGACACAAAGGTGAGTCTGGAATCGCTAGGCAGGCACATGAAGAATCCTGTCGCCAAACTGGATAGTCTAAGACCAGGTAAATCACACCTGTATCAGAAAAAAAATTCTATGTATAAGGTGCTTGTTGATGTTAAATTCTGATGCTGTGCGGGGAAGCAAATTTAATTTACAAACAAGCAGCCTATTGGCTGAGATAGCTCCGCTGTTAGCAATGCACAATTCAATTAAAGAACTGAAGACATCATTAGAAAATGAACAATATGAATAGTATCAAAGCAATCGGACTTACAGTTTTTAACAAGAAGTCGAAAATATCACTTTTTACCAAAAATTACAAAAATATTCACCAAAATAAATTAATTAGAGAATTGAAGATATCATCACAAAATGAACAAATCTGAGAGAGTTCCACATGTAGTAATATCAAAGCAATTAGACTTGCAGTTTTCAACAAGAAGTCGAAAATATCACTTTTTACCAAAAATGGCAAAAATATTCACCAAAATTAGAGAACTGAAGATATCATCACAAAATGAACAAATCTGAGAAAGGTCTACATGTATTATCTATATATGTAATATCAAAGCAATTGAACTATTGATTTTTAACAAGAAGTCGAAAATATCACTTTTTACCAAAAATTACAAAAATATTCATCAAAATTAGAGAATTGAAGATATCATCACGAAATGAACAAATCTGAGAGGTCCACATATAGTACCTATATACGTAGTATCAAAGCAATTGGACTTGTTTTTTAATTCTATTTGTTGCAGGTGTATGGCAGGAAATATTACTGCCAATAAATACATATACATGAAGTCAGTAGGGTTGTACAAACCAGTTTGTTTACATAATCATACCTACCAGAAAATCCGTGGAAATAATGAATTTAATTTATTACTCTTTATGCTCAATTACAGATTACAGCTCCAGACGGAAACTATTCGAGAATATACCCAGGTCGAATGGGAACAACCTAGGGTTACATTCTCTAAGAAAGGCCTCACCCCGTCTCCGTTCTCCCAGCAGGTCACTCAGAAGCTTGTGGGGAGGTGGGCGGATTTCCATGGTATGGACTTGGGAATTCATTAACAAGCAGACTGTTGGCTGAGATACTCCGCTGTTAGCAATGCACATCGCAATTAAAGAACTGAAGATATCATTAGAAAATGAACAATATGTATAGTATAAAGCAATCAGACTTCGAAATATCACTTTTTACCAAAATTATCATCGTCATCAAATTTAGAATTGAAGATATCATCACAAAATGAACAAATCTCGGAGGTCCACATGTAGTACAGATATATATAATATCAAAGCAATCAGACTTGTGGTTTTAAAAAGAAGTCATTTTGACATGAAATGAACAAATTTGTTTCCATCCAGAAGCAATAGAGCTCCACAAACCCACTCAGCCGACTGAGGTCTAGGAGAGGATGCCACCCCTAAACTCTTGGGAACAAGGAAGATGTGGAAATAGAACCATGGATCTAAATTTTCTCCAGAGGGCTGGCTACTTCCTGCCGGACTGTTTCCGATTAGACCTCGTCCCTTGACGGAAGAGCAGGAGGATGAGGAGTCAGAGGAGACTGGAGAGGAATCCGTTACCACGGTGAAACTACTGCGAGCGTCCAGGAATCGGAAACTGCATCAATCTGGTGTGTGCTGCTTGAGCTCCCCGACCTCCAGCCTCCAGTGCAAGAGAACAAAAACAGGGAGCCCAAGGACTCCGGAGGGAGTAATGTACCTGGGGTCGTACCACCATCCAAGCCAAGGCAGCCGGTGAAGCCTTCAAAGGGACTTCGAGGCTCCCTGGACCCCAGAAGAACCATAACATCCACCACCAGGGCCATGTTTCTTGGACCTCTTCTGACGTTTCTCACTACCGGTCATCTTCTGTGCCTTAAGAGACCAAGAGCATTTTGATCCTCGCTGGTTCTGGTCATGAGCAGGGGACTTATTGCCTGAGCCATACTGCAGTTTTGGTTTGAACTGCTGGCCGGAAGGGCTAGCAACCTTGGCCAATAAGGTTGATTGCTTCAATTGACTTCTGATTCCCCTCCACAGCTTGGGCACACAAGGTGCCCAGGGGAGTGGTCTCCACGCCGGCAGTAGGAGAGGAGAGTGCCGTTGAAAAGGGATTCAAAAGAGGCCCCCCATCTGGCCCTACACAAAACAAAAGTCTCGCGCACTGATAACAGTTCTCCCCAATCCTCTTAGGGAGAGATCAAAGTAAGGATGGAACACATCCACCCCCTGTCCCACTGATGTGAGTTTCCCCCATCCCATCCAATCCTCCTAGGGAGAGATTGGTTCTGACAGGCAGCACAGCCTGCCCCCTAACGTTCCTCCTGTGTTGTGCACCGCGACTGCAGGAGGGAGTCTACTTTGGAGGCCAAGCTAACCATCCAAGCCATCTCATCATCATGGGAGGAGCCCCTTTCACCTGACTAATATCAGTAGAAGACAACCAACCCAGGTTGCGTAACCACCGATGAAGTCTTGGTGGATTGGACCAGCTCAGCCCCTAAGGACTGTACCGATCCCGCCTCGGTACTCGCCATCGATGTCAGTGCCCCAGCAGGAACACTTTGTATCCCTGTGTCAGTACCAGCAGTGGTTGGCAACTCCATTCCTCAGGCAGGAAAAGGTGTCGAGCACATAATCACCCTGGGGGTGACCCGTCCCTTAGGTGAGGCCTTTTTCTTAAAGAATGTTACCCTAGGATGTTCCCTTTGGACTCGGGTATATTCTCTAATAGTTTTTATCTGGGGCTGTAATCTGTAATGTAGCCTAGACTACAGACAAAAACTTTGTTGTGTAGACTAGCCAGATGATTTATTATTACATTTTTTTCTAGTATTATTCATGTTATTTATATTATTCTATTATTTATAACTTAACAATTAATCTTCTGGTAAAATGAGTCATTCAAAGTTCATTCAGTCAACACCCACACCCAAGAAAACACCCACACGTCAGCTAACAAAATTGATCAATCCAAGGTCATTGAATATAATCTTGCCTGTAAGACCGAAATAAATGAGAAGCACATGTTGAAAAAAAAGACTGTCAGCATTCTTTTGTGTATGCAAGGTATAATACACTACATGATAGTTATTTTTTGTGGATTTTTCAGATTTTATTTTTACGCTTAATATACAATCTTCTTAAAAACATAGTCAAACTATTATCTGTGCATATACGAGACATGACATATACGTAAAGTGTGAACATGATCAGTCAAAACTTGTTAGATATTGCATTGGAACAGCATTCATAAAAACAAAATGGACGCCAGTCATCCATTTCAGATCCGAACAGAAAAACAAACTGAAGTGCATCAAGGTCCCATAATACAATGTATATACCAAGTTTGAAAGCATTCCATCCACAAATGACCAACATTCAGTTCCAGAATGCCAGAAATGCTGGGTTTTATGATTTTTTATCCCAAAAATGGATAACATTTTGAATTAGATCATCAAACCAAGAATCTGTATATCTATGACATGATGTATAATGAATACCGTTATATAAAATCTGAACATACTCAGTCAAAGCAAATCAGATATGTGGCTCCAGAACCAAATTCCTTAAAACAAAATGGGCGCCAGTTAGCTATTTTGAATCCGATCCGATTTTCTGAAAAACAAAATCATATGCATTAAGGACCAATAATGTCTAATGTACGTACCAAGTTTGATCGAAATCCATCCATATATGACCAAGCTCTAGTTCCATAATCCATCTGTAAACAGCCAAGATCTGGTTGCGGAAAGCCTGAATTGCTTGATTGCAATGACTTCAGCACAAAATTAGTCATCATTCAGCCATCTTGAATTGGATCGTGAAACAAAATGATGTGCATATGTGTAATATTATGTATTGAGTTTCAATTTAATCGGTCCAGGCATATTTAAAATACAGGTCTGCACGCATACATGTACATGACGAACGGTTGGTGACCTCTATTTTTGTTATTATTGCTGATATATTATAATAATTTCCCATTGTAGAAAAAGAAATGAGAAGTTTCAACGTATACTGTATCTGACATCCTTAAATATTTTATTCAACTTGGAAAATGATTTACCTCGAGAGAAGCTGCTCATATGCAAGTGATAAAAATAATCCATTTCATGAGATGATCTAAACTGGTCATTCATTTCCTATTTTATGTAACTAAAAACCAAATGAGGGATTAACAGCTTCAAAAACAATTGAAATTCTAAATAATTCAAATTAGTTATCATAACGAAGGGATTACAAGTCCAACTAATACAAAAATAACATATATAACTATCCATTACATGATATCATAAAATCATAATAAAAATATTAAATATATATGTTAGCTCCTTGTGTCTCTTGTATTTGAGGTTTGCTCTTCAGTGCCTCCTTGAGCATTCGGTATATCAACAGTATCTTTCTCTTCAACCCCATCATCTTCTTCATCATCTTTATCAGGGTAAAGTTCAGGATACTCCCTCATACAATTTTGCATTGACCGAAACTCCTCTAGGCAATTGGAACCTTTCACTTCAGCATTACTATAGTGAAAACATGAAAATGCTTCCTTGAATTCTTGTCCACATGGGCCTGTAGCCATACCACCAAGACAGGGACAGCTCCAGTTAATTTCTCCATTCGGAAGAATAAGTCCTATTAATAGAAATGATAGAATAATTATAAAACAAACTCTCAAGTACATGAAGCCAATGAACTATATTCTATCCTAGACTACAGACATGAAAAAAAGCCAGATAATTTATAATATTTTTTTTTAGTACTATCCATGTTATTGATATTATTACCAAACGCTTCAGCGCCGTATTAAGAGTTTGATTTTAGGGGTGGGTGATACCAAGGTAGAAAATGGATGCACATATGGGGGAAATTCCTGGAATTGCAAAAGAGGGTGCAGGCCGAAATACAATATATAGTGTTTTCATGTTTCGTCTGATATTTTTGTGGTATTCTGCTGCTGTAAATAATGCAAGATTTGTTCCGAAATTCAGTGTGTTGTGTGCACTCCAGGGTTATTCGTTTTTTGCTCAAAACACCCCTATTTTTTAGTGGCAGAGTCGAATAGTTTCACTCCCACTGGGAAATCTGCAATGTTGCTTGAATGAGAGCTAATGAAACACATTTTCCAGATCGACGAAAGAGTATGCAACAGCCAATTTTAACAGCCTGTCACGCGATTTTACTCTGAATGTCAACATGAAAAGAGGCTCGTCCATTTTACGCGGGAATAATTGGAAGTAGAATATGTGAGGGGTAGTATCAACAGAGATGTGTATACTGGAAAGTAATATATATCCTTCTTTTGCATCGCTGAGCATTTCTGTTTTAGTATACTAGTTTGAAAATGTTGAATTTACATGATTTGCGATGTTTTTTTTACTGAAACTTCCCTATTGATCGAATCCCGGGTTTGAAGGAGAACGGCACACCACGTGATTCATTTGAATACAATGGTTAAGGCAAACATGCCGTGTTACTGCAGTACTCCACTAACTTATGTCGTCAGCGGCCTTCGCTGAGCTGTACGCTACAACTTCACTTGTGATGTTGCTTGTTAGCCGTGGATTGAATGAATCTTGATTACGGGTTAAAATGTTGCTCATTTGGCATTGGTAATCTTTATTTGGATCTGGGTAACGTTGCAACGTCGCCAGCAGAAACCTCCTGGTATTTTGATGTTGATGGTTGCGCCTCCATGGCAATCGCTAATTTTACTGCGGGTGAATCTTCCAAGAGCCCTTCAGGGTTTATAAAACTCAACATACATCAAGTTCTCTCAATCGTAGTATTCCATGTGATGTACACCTAATATGCCAAAAATGTTGCTGAATGATTTTGCCAATGAAAACAAGCCAGTAGGTTGGCGATCCGCTCTGCTCAAAAAAAACAACAAGCAATATGTTTTTGGCTGTTGCCATGGTAGGACATGAACGTCGGAGCTAACGTCGGTTTATAACTAAAACCGGGCAAAAAAAACATTCAGTCATTAGAAGTCATTTTATTTCATTGCTAGGTGACTGCTTAGAAGTACCGTTACTGTTGTTCAAATTTCATTTCACTTGGCAAGTATATTCATGTACCCAAGGGTAAAATATTGTACTTCTAAATATTGTTTATTTCTGTTTCGAAAAAACACTACTCCTGAACGGACTACTTTATTTGTTCTCAGACCTCATTTGCATATGGGGTGTGGAAATACCGATTTTGATTTCAGGGATGAATCAAACTAAACTGCAGTATATATGTAACAATGTGGAATACTTAATTTTCACTGTAAACATTTTCCGCTAAAATAAATTTCCCTCATACTCTATTGAGACTTGACACAGCACAGTGAAAATTGGATTCACATGTAATGCTTGAAAACTTTTCATCGAAAATAAATTAAGTGAAATTCTATGTGACTTCCAACCCTACCACTCGATACACAATGTAAACTACACCCCCAAAACATCCTTTCACAAGTGTATTCTATTTGACTTCAGGAGAAATTGAAAAAAACAAATTATATGACAATGAACTTAATTATAATTTCAGCCTCTAGTTCAGCACTGATTAAATAAACTACCTCGTCTTTATGCCAACTTGAAGTTATTCAATGTCTACATGAGTGACTTCAAAATCTATGTTTCAATTCCAGGAATTTCACTTGCTATTAATTGCATAGGAGTGCCAGTCTTTTATTTTCTATTGTAATGTCAATTTCTTGTGATTACTCGGAACATGAAGCTGTAACCACAGACCGTCTAGGTGCTATAACTAAATCCTGGTGTAAGCACCGGTTAGGCAGGCTTGAACAATGCATGTGAAGCCAGCTGAGAGGTATATCCAATTCTATATATTTCTCATTGTTTGGTAACTATTTGCTGCAAATGCAACAAAAATCAATATAAAAATATTACCCACACAGCACTCTACAGGTTACTTGTTCTATTATCTATTACTTTTCAATAAATCTTTTGGTAGAATAAGTCATTCAAAGTTCATTCATTCAGTCAACCTCAGGTGACTGACCAATAAAGGAAACACGCACGTCAGCAAAACTTGGTCAATCTGAGGTCAATGAAAAAATTAAATAAGAAAAACATGTTGACAAACAACTTTGTGGTTATTTTGCCAAAATAGAATTAGTTTTGAGTGATTACAGTGGGTATGAATGAATTTTCTATACATTTGTTCTAAACTGAACACTTTGCAGGTTTGAACAGTTTGATTGCGGTTAACAATCCTGTATTATGAAATAAAATGAGCCCTGGAACTAGCATGCAGCCAAAGCCCATACATGTATCACCAGAATACCATTTTTTTTTCGATAAACATTCATTTTATGCTTTCTTATATAAACTATGATAAAATTCACAAATAATAAGTAATTTTCCATGCTATTTTTGAATTTTGACCAGTTTTTACATTCAAATCCACAAATAATGAGGGATCTCACAGTAGATGAAAAAAATGATCAGTTAACCATTGAACTTTCTTCTCCATATTTTTTTTAAGGAATGTGGTATGAGGGCGCACTTCAATTACATAAACTATGAGACTGGCATGTCAAGGTTTGTTTATTGACAAGCACCTGTTGATCTGACATGTTTTTCTGTGTACTATAAATTACTTTATATTCATTTGGAATTTATTTTCGTTATTGAATCAGTAAAATTAAAAATCAGTGACAATACCTTTTTTACCTAAATCTCACATTCAACTTCGGGAAAAGTCTAAGAAAATAAACTTTGAAAAAAAAAAACAGCCAAAATGTTGTGTCAGTAAAAATTAATTTCAGCTGAAATGAATTATTTTACGGTAACTTAAAAACTAAAAAGGCTACAAAATATCCGTTTTTGTTTCTAGCTAGACATGTTATTCTTGCAATAAAATGATTACATAAGTATGGGCTTCAGCAAGTAGAACACATTTTTTCTGTGAAACGTTTTTTTTTTTTTTTGAAGGACTAGTTAAGTAGCTTTGTGATGAGTGGCTTTCTTGGTGAGTGACTTTTGTAGTGAGTAATCCTTTATCGCAGTAGCTGGTCTCATCATCAGAGATGAGAATTGATATTTATTGTTTCATGAGCTGGGAATACCATCGTTTAGGAGCTGTTAATATGTCCTTATGATTTGTGCAGTTGCTCTGGCAGGAGCTCTGAAATTGCTCTCCCCCTAGTTTCTTACTTTGACCCCAAATATTTGACCATTTTGTCTTTGCATTACACATTCTTGTCATACTGCTCAGAGACATACTGAAAGTATGATCTTATTGGTGTTGTAGAAGGATAATTGAATATTGTTCATTGAAATTAATAATCCCCAGAACAATTTTCAAATATAGATAAGGAATTATAGTTTGAAACATATGTATTCTCAGCATTGAAATACAATGTATATATATAATTATATAATATATATTACTAACGTGCTACAATACAAAAATTGAAATTGAAAGAAATTGCAATATAAACAAGCAGCCTCTCGGCTGAGATTTCAATTAAAGAACTGAAGATATCATTAGAAAATGAATAATATGTATAGTATAGTATAGTATCAATGCAATCAGAAAATTAAAGATTTTATCACAATATGAACAAATCTGAGAGAGGTCCACATATAGTACATATATATATATACATATATATATACATATATATATATATATATATATATATATATATATATATATATATATATAATA